TCAATGATTGGGAGAATCTTGCAGTGATGGCTAGATTGGCACCAGGTGGATATGTCAAGATCGTTGCTGGACATGACCAAGACCTTGGTCATTGTGAACAGCGTGATGTAACTTGGGCTATCTACGAGATTTGTTTTGGAAAAACAAGGCCTCGTCAGGAATTCAAGGATGCAGACTTTGAATTTGATGACTATGGTCCTGAGGACCTGCGTGTTCCACTTACTAGAGCGAACATGCATACCATCAGAGTCTGTAATTATCATGTTGATACACACCGTGCTGTGGATGCCCACTCACTGACAGGAGAACAGACAGCATTGATGCTTTATGAATGTTTTGTCTATGAGGTGGACATCATTTCTGGTGATGCAAATAGCTTAGCCTACAGAATGTCTGGATACAAAAGGCAGCCAATGGCTAACTATTATTATAGCACCATGCAGCATTGGATCCGCAGGTTTTCAGAAGCCCGTGTAAAAGCAGATCCTGGTATCAAAGCACCTATTCCCAGAACATTTTACAATTCTTCTTCACTTGTCCTCAAGCAGTGTGAAGATTACTTTGATAAACTCTGGGAAGATTACTCCACAGTAGAGAAAGAAGAATACCAGGGATCACAGCTTGGAGATACATGTTTGTCTACCATTGTTGAATGGGGTCATTCAATGAGTGAAGAGGAATATACAAATTCCACAGTGAGCACGAAGGAGTTCATCTGTAATTTTTCAGAGAACTTTGCTATGATTGACACAGAGGTTATGTGCTCAAGGCCCACTGACGAGGACAGTCATGGTCCAATGTTTATCTCACTCAGACCAGCTTCCTTTTCATCTGGAGACAGAAGACAGTATCGCATGGGAGCAACTCTTCATGAGGCGAAACTGCGGAGGAAGGAGAGACAGAAAGAGAATAAAAGGAAAGGTAGGCCGCCAACTTCTGATCAAGCAGCTTCATCGACTGCAGCGGCATGAATTCAGAGCGGAGGCTAACTTTTAATGATAGCTAGGAAGTGAAGATACTCCTGATCACAGTTGATACTTTGCTTCCAAGCTTGACTTTGAGTTGCCAGGCTGAAGTTTTAATGAACTCTGGTTTGCAACAAGGAGAAACTTTTTGTCAAAGAAGATACTCCTGCATTCCAGGTTTATACGCTTTAGCATGCAGATAGGTATGGACAGTTTTGCATAACTGATGATATCTATCACAGCCGCTTTTTCTGAGGTGACCTCTAATGGGCGACCATTCATGGTTGAGGATTAAGTCATTTCATAAGTTTGCATTTGTAGTGCAAGTTTTGTACATACATTTGCCGGTGTCTCCTTCCTTTTTGTTTTTGGTGTCAATGAGAAAGAGTCCTTTTGATGCAGTTCCATTTTTATTTAAGTCCTGTGTATGGAAGCGGCCGAGACCACTTTTAGAGAAGAACACTCCTCGGACCGAGAGTTGACGCTCCTTGCATTTTGCAAGGCATCCTAACTCATTGCAATTTGTGCGGTCTTGAATTTTTAGTTCTTCGTTACGCGAGTGTCGTTTACTGCTTTTACAGGTCTCTGTGTAAGAAAGCCGCTTTCCCTTGAATTTAAGTTTCTTTGAAGCTCTGGCTATTTAAGGGCTAGTGAGCGCCGGTACACGGTATCTTCGCCGGTGAACAATACAGTCTCCAGCCGAGGTACATTGTCTCTGACTTTGTATTTGAGGTGAGTCAGCTATTGCTCCCTCACTGTATTTAGTAAACCTAGAGATTACCTTTTCTAAAGTGTGAAACACACTGGAATTGGTAAGTGCAGGGCACCGTGGTTTCCTTTTAAGCTTAATAGAGCTTGCTGGACTGTTTTAGCCTTGCGGTAGAAAATAGTATGCGACATACGCAAATAGGCAGGAGTGGACATGAATTTTGTGCCTGCTGAAAGGTAGAGCCTACTTGTACAGGTTCCACTCCAGTGGCCTATCTAGTGTGTCCATGCTTGACTGCCATAAGGCTCAAGGGATATAGGATAAGACTCTGCGTGAGCAAAAGACACTAGCGGTCTGCACCTCTACCGTGTACGCCCTAGTCACTCTTTCACCCCCTCCCCACCTCCCCCCCCCCTCCCCCCCGGTAGTGGTGGTGGTAGTAGCAGTAGTAGCAGCAGTAGTAGGTAGTAGGTAGTAGGTAGTAGGTGGTACGTAGTAGGTAGTAGATAGTAGGTAGTAGGTCATAGGTCGTAGGTGGTAGGTCGCAGGTAGTAGGTAGTAGGTAGTAGGTAGTAGGTCGTAGGTCGTAGGTCGTAGGTAGCAGGTAGTAGGTGGTACGTAGTAGGTAGTAGGTAGTAGGTCGCTGGATCAGAATAGACAACCATTGGACTGAGACATGTCGATCGCTGGATCAGAATAGACAACCTCTGATTCGGATTCGTTCCAGTTCATTGTAAAACGACTTCGCTTGAAATCCACAGCAACAAACTCTCCCAGCAAAATGTGCAACTCCAATGCACCCACAAGTCTGATTGAGCAGGGTATTGTTGTTCGATGTCATTCTGGGTCTTTCATTTCAAACGGTTTGGAGAAAAGAACGACAGATCATGCAAGATCTAGAAATTCTTCGGTCGCTTAGCCTTCTGTGTGTGAAAAAGAATATCTGGTGCGTGTCGCAATCCCTCGAGATGGTCGAAAAGAAGATCTGAAAAGGAAACATGCACACGGCCAAGTAGTTTGGAAGAAGAATCGTTTTCAAGGTCATGTTTTGTGGATAGTCTTGGTTCGCATTGCTTGTGTTGGCTTCACTTGGTTCCTCTTAGGTGATTCGACTGAGACATGCCGGTTCGGATCGCTGGATCAGAATAGACAACCTCTGATTCGGATTTGTTCCATTTCATGGTCAAACAACCTTGAAATAAACATCAACAAACTCACCCAGCCAAATGTGCACCTCCAATGCACCAACAAGTATGCTTGAGCAGGGTATTGTATCATTAAGCTGCCTGCCAATGCGGGCTCGAGCTGGTGGCCGGCGGCATGCCGAAGGCTGTAAATAAGAGCAATACAAGTCACACTCTAAAAGCAAGAAATAGGGCTTTGCAGGGGGGCTGCGTGGAATTAGATTACTACATCCAAAAACTTTTTGGTAAATACCTAACTTTATAGATTTAGACATGTTTGTAGTACATAGTTGAATGAACAAATTTGCTTACCCACTGCACATAGAGCAAGAAAATCACAAGTTTCACAATCCTGTCAATGTGATATCATCTCCAGAAAAGAAAATAAACCTTACAAAATCACAACTTTCACAACCCCACCCCCCATGACTACCCGCTCTCAACTTTTAACCGCGTAAGTCAACAAGAATGCAGAAGGTGAGACCCTTTGATAAGGCCGTGTTTACATGGCCCCCACAAGCCTCTTCTCTTCTCTTTTTTCTGTTCTCTTCTATCTTCTCTTTTCTCTCTTCTCTCTTCTCTCTTCTCTTCTCTTTTCTCTTCTCTTTTCTCTTCTCTTTTCTCTACTCTTTTCTCTTTTCTTTTCTCTTCTCTTCTCTCTTCTCTTCTCTCTTCTCTTTTCTCTTCTCTTTTATCTTTTCTTTTCTCTTTTCTTCTCTTTTCTCTTCTATTTTCTCTTCGCTTTTCTCTTCTCTTTTTCTCTTCTCTTTTCTCTCTTCTGTTCTCTTCTCTTTTCTCTTCTCTTTTCCCTTATCTTTTTTCTGTTCTTTTCTCTTTATTCTCTTCTCTTTTCTCTTCTCTTTTCTCTTCTCTTTTCTCTTCTCTTTTCTCTTCTCTTTTCTCTTCTCTTTTCTCTTCTTTTTTCTCGTCTCTTTTCTCTTCTCTTTTCTCTTATCTTTTCTCTTCTCTTTTCTCTTCTCTTTTCTCTTCTCTTTTCGCTTCTCTTTTCGCTTCTCTTTTCTCTTCTCTTTTCTCTTCTCTCTTCTCTTCTCTTTTCTCTTCTCTTCTCTTCTCTTCTGGTTTGATTCGTCTTCATCCTCAGGGATGGGACAGTGAGTTGGACTTTCAGGAGTCATGGTGATGGTAATTCCTGACACACAAGCACCAAGTGCAAGGAGCTAAAGGCAACACTGTCGAGAAGTGTGATCCTTTCCACCTGTTAAAATCACGACCCCCCCTAATAAGGAAACCTCGGTCGCATTTTTTACATAGAGAGTCCCTGAAATCGGGGTTGTCCAAAATAGGGTCACCTGGGAAGAGCTTCAAACCAAAAGTCACCCAGTATATGTTTATATAAAAATCCTTTATTGAACTCGTATCAAAAATTCAATAAACCTCCAGATCGAAGGGTCTTCCTTTTCCCCTACAAAAAACCTTTATTGGCCCAATTTAACCCCAAAAAAAAAGACTCCCCCAAAATCGGCCATGTTGGTAGTTTTGTAGCGGCTTTAAAGGGCGGAAATTTAAAAACAAATATATATATATATATAAACCGTATTTAGGGGTTCCGACATGATGTTTTTTCAATGGGGTCCGTTTCTAAATAGGTATTAATAGGTAGTGTTTCAATAGGTACTTGGGATTGGTGGACTCTGGATGCCTGTGTGTAGAATGGTGACAGGACAATGGGCTGACAGGGAGAAGTGCCTCCTGCCAGTTGCGGCCAGTTCCAACTACAGCTACTTTGTGATTGGTATATATAAAAAATCACGAACCGTCAGACAATTGGCCAGTAAGCTACATCATAGATGCTTTTGGGCGTGGAACGATTGAAAATTCTGCCCAAGTGTGCATGTATGCCACAAGTGCCGGGCGCCACGCCCCTGATCAAACCTGGTTGGCTAGCGGCTAGCGGCTAATGAAATTCACTTTTCACATGTGATATGAATGGGGTCTTTCTTCTGTGCGGGTCGCCGCGAGTGTGGAGCTTAATCAGTGCTGTAATCTACTGTGCCGCCGGGCCTACACCTACACTCGGCTTCCACAAACTGGCCTATACAAACAAAGCACGCTTAAGCAGGAGCGGGTTCGTAGAGCTATAGTAGAGCTACAGTAGCAGCGCAGCCTACTCCTGGAGCTGTTTCAAATCCCGGCCTGCCAAATGCTACCCCAAAAGTTGCTGAAGAAATGTCGATTTCTCATCTTCCTTAGACTATTCCGCATTACCGATTCATAATATATCATACTTCATCTGTGTAATTAAATGGGTTCAACACAGGACACTCAGCGCCACACTGCAAGGCTGGCTCGCCAAGTCGTTCCTTGCACCTAGTCAGGTTTCGCGTGCCACCTCTGTACCCTCAGGATAGCAAGGATTAAGAACTTGCTCTAGTATGCCAAATGATTCTTAGACTTGCGAGTGAGGCACTGGTTCCAGCCAATCGAATCTGGCAGAATTGTCACAACATCAAGGATGCCCTTCATGACCGCCATGCCTGGCACACCCGGTTCTCTCGCAAAGATTTAAAAAAATAAATCATTACAGGTTTGCACAAAATGATCCGTGAATAGAAGTGCCAAAACACCGGTTCCATGCAAAGCCATGCTTGCAAATTTGGGATACAGGTCCATGTCTGCACCCGCAGACAAACACACAACCCCGTTCCTGCCCCTTCAATCACACTTCCAAGATCCATTGTCATGACAAGTTCTTGCCAGGGTGCAGCATGCAATGAGGAAAGTCTTGTACCACAAACCAACATGAAACCTCTGCTTGTAGGATGAATAAACAAAGGCCGACCTCGACATACAAGCCAAGGGCTTCGAGGCTCTCATGCGTGTTTTGCACTGATTGCGCCTCTTCAAATCTATGTGGAAACGTGTGGAATACTGAGGGTCTTGCACACAAAGTGCGGCTGGAATGAAACCTGGTGTGTGGGCATCTTTCTGCACTCCCCAGTCAAATGCCTTTGAAGACTCTCCCGCAAAGCTGCAATGAGAAGGGCTAATGCAAAGTTTCCTGTACAAAATGCCTGAAAGATCAAGGATGAACATTGGAATTCTGACATTGCCATCACGTACCTGAGCGGAGACTCAAGAGAAGGGCCAGGGAACAAAGCTGACCAAAGGCGAGAGCGTCGCAAGAATTTGAGAGCATTGACAAGCATGACACCTGGAAGACTAGTGTGATTAGAGACTGTCTGCAAAGTACAACCTACGGCGCGTTTGCATGTGGGGGCGAGTTATGGAATATTTGCTGACTCCTTGATGCGCATCATTTATGATAATTAATATTCACATGTCATAAAGCATACCGTACATGAGTGGTGAAGGGGGGCCACGAGTACGCCCTGGATAACCAGCAAGGGTGTGGCCAAGTCCGGTCCCTCCAAATTTCCCCCTTCTTGATTTCGCTCACAGCCCTCCAACCAAGGCCAAACAGATGGAAGCCTCACTGCACGATTTCTGACTGCGGTGCTTTCAAGGAACAGCTTCGTTCTCATTGTCTCCCGAACTTTCGTTGCCAGCACTCCTGAATCAGCTTCGGGGCATTGCAACAAGCACAATGTCAGAAAGCCTTGGGACAAGCCTTCACAAAATGCATGTTTTCCTCCCCCACCATCCACTACAGCAAGGCACGCGCTTGGAAGTCCAGAGTTTAACTGCGTTGAAGTGCAGCTGGTTTCGCTTTGCGGTCACCAGCCGCAACACAAGTCACCTCACCGCACCACGTGCCAAATCTTTAGGTGTGGGTGGGTGGGCAAAGCCAGGGAAGGGTTTGCATTCCCTCCCACCCTCCATTTATGGCACTTATTTACCATGTCCATCAGACCACTCTGGTCTTCTAAAACAAGCCTTCACAAAACGCATGGTCTTTCCCCCCCACCCTCCAAAGAGCGAGCCTTTTGCTTGGAAGTGAAGAGCTTACTTGCGTTTGCGCGCGCTCTCACCAGCAACATAAATCACCTCACTCGCTTCGCCGCGGCTCTCGACCTCCTTTACACATTTCTTGCACTTCCTTTGGTGTAGTGCAAGCTGGGATTGGAGCGCCACCTTTGAAGAGCTTCTGCTGAAAGGCCATCCACACAAGGCTACCCATTCTTCAATTTGCACACCCCAGTTTGCTCCGCCCTAAGGAGGGCTAGGGCTGCACTCAGTTCGTCGTGAGGTAGCCGCTCATATCTTGAAGATCTTGTATCACTGGTTGGGCTTGCGCGATCATCAAGCGCAAAACCCTTGCCCGAGCTTCTTTGGATGCGGGGAGTCTCCCGGTTGCCAGGGATTGTTTTCGGCCTTGCCGCTGTGTTCTCTGGTTGTCTTCTTGCTTTGGAGGCGGAGTGGATCTGGCAGAAGTAGTTCTGGATCTTTTCTGACTGGGCTTTTCCGAGTAGCAAACCTCTTGCTATTGCCCTTTCCATCACCTTCAGATCTCTTTGGCGCAGCCAACCCTTCTCGCTCCGCCGCCACTCTTTTCCTTTTTGCAATTCTGTTGTCTCCATTTGCCTGTCTTCTTCTCACCCCTTTCTCATCACCATCACCACCGTCTACAGCAAGTCCCGGAAGATGAGCCGTGGCCAAAGCTTCAGCTGGTTGGTTTGGTGCACCATGCGATCCACACGCCATCCAACCCGCTGCAGGATGACGCACTTGCTCATTCCAATATTTGTCATCCAAAGCCACCATCCTAAAGCAAGTTGCGCAGGGTGCATCATCTGCGTATTCCCTGAACTGAAAAAACTGTTTCTCCATCGCCTATGTCCAGAACAATGGTTCTCCATGTCTTGTCCAGCTTTTCAGTTCTCGCCCTGAGATCAGCTTGAGCGATCAGTCCCCATGCTTTTGGCCATTGCAGCACCAGCTTCTCAATCACTGCACAAGCCTAATGTGGCAATGTTGAGGGAGATGCACGTTTTGAACACGTGCCAACACACTAGCCATTGTTGTGGGTTTTGAGGTCCCGGCAGCTCTGTCATCAAATAGGATCCATCCCCCCAATAGCATGAACGCCCAAATCCCGCCAAACGGCGGCCAGATGGCAAAGTCCACGTAGGGGGGCTGCTTCAACCTGCCAACGGGGCATCCGTTCCTTCTTCTTCATCTTGAGGAGGAGCACCCATCACTGCAGTCCCACTTGCGCCGCTTGCATAGGCGTCAGGTTGCTCATAGGTGTCAGGTTGTCACCTGAAGTGGAAGCCACTTAGTCCAAAAGGCATAGCTGCTAGTAGCTAGTAGCCGTAGGTCGCTTCGAGGGCTCCAGCCACGGCAGTGAAAGCATCCCAAAAATTCATCATCAATCAGAAGAATCCCAGGAGGCCCGGGATGATGTTGCACCCAACCACCTCTGCGCTGGGCAGCAACACAATGAGCAAACAGGGAAGGGTATGCCTTCCCCCCCCCAGACTCCATTTATGGCATTTGCTTGCCATGTCTAAAGCAAGCCGGACTTCCACGGTCGCATTGCGTCCAGTACGCTATAATTAGTTCAAGCATGCGCAGTTTTGTTCGCTCTAGCTGCCTGGTATTGGAGCCTCCTGGTTGGTTTCCGGTGGCCAAACGCGCTTGGCTGCAGCTGGATTTAATGAAGGTTTTTGTCAAGCTGTTCCGGTGCCTACAAGCAATCATTGGAGACTATCTCTCTCTCTCTCTGTCTCTCTCTATACTCTGTATTTCTAGTTTATAGAATGTAGCTTCGCGTTTTCAATGAAGTTTGGCAGTGGAGCGGGCCGTTGCACACTTGTGTACTGTCCGGGTAACCTGCAACACAAAACACAAGTGCTTCCACTATAATTTTTTGCCATTGACGCCCCTCCTGCACTTCAGCACAACAAGCGTCATATCATCCTACACACAAATTGTCCTGGAAACATGTTGTGAATCAGGACGTAATGCGTCATACAACTTTTGTGCGCAAAGACAGCTTCGTGGCTGGGAGAATGGACCTATGCACGCCCTTAGGACAACAGTTCACACACGCGCAGAACCAACGGTTGGAGAAAACATGTACTGGAAAATTGAGCGCTCGCAACGCAGCAGCAAATCAATCAAATCAAAGCTGCAGACAAAGTAGAAAAAAGGCGGCGCCAACACTACACCGGCAAAGACCTTTGCTAGCATTTGGGATAAGAAACATCCCGAGTCCTATCTACGTCGTCGCTCGGCCTCTTACTCGAACGAAGTGTAAGTACAAAGCCGATAACCAGTAGTAGTGCAATGGTGTCAGGGAATTGTTCCATAATGAACAGAAAATGAGTTGCGATCATGGCCTGACTGCCTAGCTTCAGAATTCCAGGCAAAAGGCGGCGATCACAACCCGCTTTGAAAGGATTTCACTAATTTCACATCAAAACTTGCTTCCTAAGGTTTAAGGGCTCCAAACTTCCAGGAAAAGTTGCAACCAGGGCCTGGTTCTAAAAGACGCTAATATATCTGATCTGAAGAAGACAAACAAAACGAAATCGATGAATGCATGCGCATGTATAGTTGGGAGTTTCCGCGAAGTTGAGCCAGATTGTCGCATTGCTTTGCAACTGCAAACGAAAAACGCTGCAGCCAAGTGTCAGAGCAACAGTTCGGGCTACCAAGTCAAATAGTTCCCCACCTGCAAGACTCATCAGATTCATTAGATTCAAGGAACCAGCCAATCGGAACCACTACAGCCTCTTGCAACCTGATGTCTATACTATACCTCATGATTGAAGCGTTTTTACAGAAGTGCCTTCCACTTCATGTAGGTCAGTGCCCTCTGGAAGTGCGCCTTCAATTCGCTCCTTTCAACAAATGACGGACAAGCTGAAAACCTATCCGAAGTTGACAAAAACCTGGCACTAGCTTGGGTTGATGCGTCGACGACACCCACGAAAGACTTGAGACTTAGGAGTCGAATTGACGCCGCAGCCCGTCCATGTACCGTACGTAGAAAGCTGTGCCAATGTGCAGCATGAAACTCTGGAAGGAGAAGCAGAAGAAAAAGAGCGCCATTGGAAAGACCACGTACCAGGCCTGAGGGCATTTCCAAAGTGGCGGCCCAAAAGAAAGAACCAATAAAAGCCTCATCCGCATAAAAAGTGTTGCGCGCTCTTTGAAAGGACTATGTCACGCACCATCAAGCTTCACACTGACCATGGCAACCCATGCGCAAATTCTCTGCAGATCTCGAGGGAGGCACCACGAATTTCCAGAGACATTCTACGCATATGCCCGTGTGAAATGCAATAACTTCCTGGAGGACCTATGATGATCAAGAATTGCTCCTAGGTGCCTTAAAGGGTCCCCCACCTCACAAAGACTGTATGAAAAAGGGTTGCCTGGGCAAGCCCGCAGAAACAGCTTAGACTTGCTAGATGTCAGCCAAGATCATGTAAAACTGTAAAATTGAAGGGGGTCCTCCAACCCAAAAAATACAGAAAAGGACGTGATACGGGTGTGTGTTGTTCTTGAAACCCCTTGCTTTAGCACTTTGCATGTTGAAGGTGTTCAGGCGTTGAGGATGAGACCTCGTCGTTGGAAATAGCTTCCAAGGCAACGGTTTGGTTTGTTGTTGGTAGATGGTCGGTCTACTGGTCGGTCTGCTAGTGAGTAGTAGTCTTGCTAGTTCATCGGATCTTGCGGAGGTCGGCAAAAAATTATAGGACTGGATAACCCCACATGTTAACAACTTCGCCAGACACAAAAAAACCCTGTAGCAAGAAGAAGAAGAAGGAGAAGAAGAAGAAGAAGAAACGCGATGACAAGAGAGGTAGAGGAAGGAAGAGAGTGAGGGAGCGAGCGTTGATGGGGTTGGTGGTTGTTGGTTGGTGGCAGCTGCTGAAACCGGTACAGCGGCGGCGATCCAGTCACATCACAAGCGCAAAAGCTGTCGCCAGTTGCTAGCTACACGCAACTGCCTGTGGCATAGCCGTCCCTAGAGCATATAGTTTTATGGTTTGTACAAAATGCATCGCAACGGAGGAAGGGGGCATGGCGGCATGTGCAAAAAGCTGCCGCCAACGCAGAAACGTCGCTGCGTAGAAAGACTGCTTCGTTTCGGCGACAGAAGGCACACTACAGGTGCAAAAGCTGCCGCTGGCGCAGCAACGTTCTGCTAGGTACACGCACCTGCCTGCGGCATTGCCGCGCAAAGAACATACAGTTCATGGTGTATCAGCCGAATTCTCCGCAATGGGGACATGACCCACACCAGAAAGAAAGTCCGCTTCGTAGCGCAACTGCCTTTGACACTGCAGCCCATCGAACCTTTGGTGTGGAAAAAACTGCTCTGCAGCCGAGCAGAGGCCACACCACAAATACAAAACCTTTTCCTTGCGCAGAAACGTCCTACTGGGCATGTGCAGCCGCCTGTGGCCTTGCTGCACGCACACCCTGCCGCGCGCTGCGTAGAAAGACTGCTTCGTAGCAACGGCACAAACAAGTTGTTGCGAAGACGGCGTCCTGCTAAGTACACCCAACTGCCTGTGGCAAAGGTGCACATGGAACACTACAAGTGCAAAAGCCGTTGCCCGTGAAGAAACGTCCTGCGAGGCACACGCACTGCCTGCGGCATTGCTGCGTAAAAAACATTTTGTTGTCTTATGGTGTGAGGTTCCAAGGTGGGACCACCAAAATCATGCCTCCGATATGTTTGTTGTCTGCCACTGCCCCACCCCTCCGAACGCAGCACTCAAGGAGGGAAATCCGGCTTTCAAGCCCTGTAGACTGTAGACAAAGTGCACCACTTCCAGCCCAGAAAGCACCCAAGTTCCACAAAGCACAATTCCGGTTTTGGAGTGGTGTGGACAAACTGTGCACCACTTGCAGCCCCAAAGATTGAACCCAAACTGCATTCTGCTGTTGGAATCGCAGGTAACGCGTGTGTGGTCACCACAAATCATCACAAATCACCATCAATTACGCAAACACACCATGTACCAACTGCAATAATCAAAGGATACTCCCCTGCAAACGAACATGGAACCCCAAAACCACTAGGGTGTATATAGAGGAAAACGGTCTTCCATCGGTCCATTTTCGGGTTCGATCTTAGTTTGCGGGGTGGTATATTTGCAAAAGGTTTGAAACCATCACAACCCATGCAAACCGACCACAACTTCACCAGGAGGCGGTTTCTGGGCTAGAACAACGCCGCCTTCGATATCTATGCACCTCCACTATCCTTGTAAATCTCAGATCAGTTGTGCCGACAAGTTGCTTTTGTCATGGCATCAGTCTTGTAGTTGCTCTCGTCCATCTCCTGGACATCCGAGTTTTGTCACACCATGGCACCCAAAAGAAAGAAGCAGGCGGAAAGGAATTCACAAGAAGGCATTGAAGGAATTTGTATAGCCGGTTAACACCTAGGATTATGGCTTTGTTGATTGCGTTGACATCTGAACCTGCGACAACGGGATGGATATCTTTCAAACAACAATCAAAATGCAATAATCTCCACTCCGCACCCTAGCCCTAGCCAATAACCAACCATGCAGAGTGGAAGCGCAATGGCATAGTGTGATATCATTCCGTTGATGCCAAAATGGAAATCATCGAACTCTCTCAAGCTGAAAGGTGTTTGATCTCAAACAGGGTTGGCGCCCCATGCATCGCGCAAGAATGACTTCATGGATGCTGTTTGTTGCGGTGGGGGTTCGTTCAATTTGAAATTGGGTTCACTCTCCCTCAAGCTGGCCAACGGGAGAATGTTCAGTTCAGTCGAAGCCCTGCTTCCACCGCCGTTCTCATGATCCTGAGCTCTGTGATTGCACAGTGGCAGCCTGCACCCTATGAGCCTTTCCACACCTTTCCAGGCATGCTCCAATCACTCCACTGCGAAAGTAGTTCTTCCGGATGGGTTTTGGCAGCTTGTGAGGATGGCAAAAGGCGTCACGTCGTCGGATCCAGCAGTTGGGGCCGTGGTTAGCTTGTGCCTACAATTCCAAGGGAAAGGGGACCCATGAGGCATTGACCAGAATTGCAGCAAGTAAGGCTGATATGCAAGTGTCCCATAGGACATCGAACACAGCGCAAGCAGGGGCACGGGCTCTCAGGTTGGAGGCCATCGCTACTAGGTTGGAGCACGCTGGCAAAGTCAATTCAACATATAATTACAAAGTCCACGGTGGCCATGGCACAGCAAACTTGCAAAGAGGGGTGGGCCACGTCCCTGCTCCAGGTAGGATGCGAGGGCCCTAGGTCCCTGGCACCTCCCCATGAACATGCATCATGCACGTCATTAAGCATGACGAACTGACATCTCAATGCAATTGACAATTCAATTCCATGAAGACTGCTGGCAACTAAACATTACCCTTCTCTTTCAACCCAAGTTGGGGACTGCTGGGACTGGTCTGCAGAATTGTTTCATTTCGCGGCGGATCTCGGGATCCAAGACTTTCTTGCCATATCATTGCAGAAAATCATCTGGCGAAAAATGAAAACCATCACCACAACTAGCCTGGGATGTTACTCTTTGGTCTAGACTTTAGACCCAGCAGCGGGCACGCAGGTAGCGTCTCCTGGTCAAAGTGGTATCAAACTAGTCAAAGTGGTATCTCACAGATGTTTCACATCATGGCTAAACTTGTCTCGGTCAGTTAGTTCAGCAGTTACAAAGCAAATGTCTTGCACGCAAAAAACCTTGTGCTCACAGTTCGGGAAGATATGCTCGGACTTACTTTGCTGTGCCCGTTGCTTTTCACTTACTGTAAGACTTCCTGGATGGGTCCTGCGATTGCTTTGCAGTTTGACAAGTTTCCTTTCGATCTTACACTTGTTGTTCTCGGTACGTTTTCTTTCCCATGCCATAGACTTGAAAGCAAGACCTGCACTCGACATCACTACAGTGAGATAGTAAGCCATCATTACAGTCTCTCCTGAATTATAAATATATACCATCAACGAGCAGAGAGGGGGAGTGGTTGGCACCCCAAACATTACTGACGTTGCCTCTGCGCACTGTGACCCATGAAAACACTGCAGTCTGCATGCCATCCCCGTGCGTTTGGATACGCCATCGCCATGAAGCGGATCTCATGTGCCCTTGAATGCCAAAAACTTCTTGTAAAATGTCTCTATATTAGCCATTAGCAGGAACCAACCTCGTCGGCCAGCTGTCTAGGATACACTGATACCCTGCGCACCTTAGGGATCGGGTCACACTATATAAATCTATATCAAATAGTGGCTGAGAGCAGGAAACGCCAAATCCTCTTGCTTTGAGTTCCCAATTAAGCTCCAACTGCTGAAATCCATTCGATATCCACATACCATTCTGCAGAACGGGTCAGAACTTGACTATCTCATTCTTGGACAAGTTGCGCATTTCATGTCTTCTTCAGATAGCTTTCCTTATCGACTCAGGTGCTGTGATGCATTCTGCATCAACACGACAAGAATCGGTTTCAATCGATATATATATATATGTGTAAAGCATGACAATGCTTGCCCAACCATACCTAAATGACTATGGTTAAATATGCTCACATCCATGAAGGGCCAAGTATCTGTATATCATACTGAGGGCCAGGAGTTGCTTGACATCTGTGTCGCTTTTTCCCATTGCCTTCATCATTGTGTTGAACTTTTCTCTTGTGGACTCTTGAACAACAGTCCTCTCAAACCAAAAAACTTGGTGACAGCTCTGGGCTGAAGAGTGCCTCCGTCAGCTGGGATTGCTGTTCAGGTGTCTTGTGTGCCTTGGATGTCAAAGAAAATTGTAAAATGTTGAAAACTCATTTTAAAAAAAATATATATATATATATGATTGGTTGGGGATTCTGCGTCGCATCTGTCTGCATCCTTGTCACCAGATATTGGTCAATCAACTTTCTCCAAGGCTCATCCTTGGATCAATGAAATGCCAACGGAACGGCCGGGATCGACTGACTGACTTTATCAGCCTTGTGGAGACTTGAGGCTACCCTAAGCCAGTGCATTGCAACTGTGGTCTTTCGAAAGGGGGAATCACATAATTGGCTCTTCAAATGATGCCTGCAATCCAAACACAAGTGGCTCACACACACACTCCCACACACACTTATAGATATGCGTACTGAACTGACAGCGGTGCCACACGCCAGCCTAAGTGAAAAACCTAAGAAATCAAGGTGAGTAAGGGGAAAGCTCCACCAATCTCCAAAGCTGAAAGTTCTGAAGTCACGATCTCCAAAGCTCAACGACGGTGAGGTCAGCACTAGACAAGTACTGCAAAACATAGAAATGGAACAGTTTGCAAGCAAGTACATCAAACCGGCGTCCCGGATTGATTTCACAGATGCAACACTGGCGTCTTCGTTGGTGCCAGTCCAGTGTGCATCCCTGGCACCCCCTGCTAAAAACAATTCAAAAAGAATCCCTGTGACTACAAGGGGCACACACACTTAGGATAGGGTCGCCTCCCCAAGAAGGCGCTCTTACCTAATAGCATCCTTGCACCTAGTAGTAAGGCCAGGAGCCCCTAGTAGCGTCCCACTCTAAGGTCCCGACAGGAGGGAGGGGTAGGGAGAGAAGAGAAGACAGGAAAAAGAAGAAAGGAAAGGAAAAGAAGGTGTTCCCAGCCACGACACAAGCGTCCAAGGACACACCAAGAGAAAAGAAGGGTTCCCAGCTATGACGAAAGCATCCAGGGACACCCAAACAAGAAGGAGGGAAAGGAAAGGAAGGAGAAAAGAGAGAGAGAGAGAGGGAAAAGAGAGGAAAAGGACAGGTGTTCCCAGCTACGAACAAGCGTCCAGGGACACACCAGGGAGAAAGGGGTGAACCTGAGTATGACATTCAGGAACACCCCAAACAAGCGAAAGGGGAAGAGAGGGGGCGGGGGGAGGAAGGGGGACTAAGCTCTCGACAGGTTCCAATGAACTTTGAACAAGCTTTGGTCGCTGCGACCACGTACGGCTTGCCCGAGGGCTGCCACCTTTGACCGCTGCGGTCACGTAAAGGCATGAGCCAGCTTGGAATTTAATACTTCAGCAAGTCTTGGCACATAACTTTGGCATAAGCCTCCTGCTGTCCGCTTCGGACACCTACGTTCCCGGGCAGGGGGAACAATGGACAAACCCCCGTTCGACGGGTCCACGGGAGGCACTCTTCGGGCTCATCTTGGGCTGGTGTGAAGCCAGACACACTTATAGATATGCGTACTGAACTGACAGCGGTGCCACACGCCAGCCTAAGTGAAAAACTTAAGAAATCAAGGTGAGTAAGGGGAAAGCTCCACCAATCTCCAAAGCTGAAAGTTCTGAAGTCACGATCTCCAAAGCTCAACGACGGTGAGGTCAGCACTAGACAATTACTGCAAAACACAGAATTGGAACAGCTTGTCCATTACGTAGGTTTTCTGCCAAGCAGGTCAATCCGGCGTCCCGGATTGATTTCACAGATGCAACACTGGCGTCTTCGTTGGTGCCAGTCCAGTGTGCATCCCTGGCACCCCCTGCTAAAAACAATTCAAAAGGAATCCCTGTGACTACAAGCGGCACAAACACACTGAGTCGCTCACTGAGATCGACTTCTTCTCCGCATCAATAAGCTCTGAGACATCTTTGTGCGCCTTCTGCAGCATTTGCCGAAGTTTCTCTTGCGGGTCTGTGCCCCTTCCTGCCATAACTGCGGCAAAAAGAGCAGGGTTGTTGTTGAGAATATGAGTCTCACACTTTCGTTGAGATGTCGTGACAGTCGATTATGCACAAAAATCCCAGGGCTACTCTATAGACTCTCTATATATATATGTATATACACATACGTACACCTCTAAATGCACATATATGCAATTTTGCTCCCAATTTGGAAAGCAAATTCAAGTGTTAGCTGGGTGGCCTCCGTGGAGCGTTTCCAAGGGGCAAGTAGGGCACTGCATCAGGGCCAGTCGAGCTTGCCAACCGTACGGATCCGTCACGTCAGGTCTTAAGGGGACGGTCATGCCTAAGATAGATACATCTGCAAAAAGTTTCTTGGCAAACATGTACCAGTAACATGTTCAATTATGAAACCTCCACCAGGATCGTCATGTCGCTGTTTGCTTCGCCAAATTCTTGCATATCAGCACTTCTAAGACATTCTTTCACTATCCTGTCACACCTTGTGGGACGCTCTTGCTTGACACTCTTCACACACCCCTTCACCTCACAGAAACGCCAGGGCGGTGTGCCAACTCGCCACTCAAGTGTGAAGGTCTGGACGGCTTACACGATGTGGAGTCAAGGACGATCAAATTCACCGAGACAATCTGCGCATTCAGGATGAGATGCAATTACAGTACCAATATAAACCCAATCCATGCCTTCTCATGTGCAAGACTCATCTGGCATACTCCTCCGTGGCACTCCTCTAGCTCACGCTTGTGTGACACTCTTGTGGGGCACTCCTTCTAGAGCGCGCTTGAATTACATTTGTAAACACTCTAGCGCGACACTCTTCGAGGCGGTTTCAAAGGGTGGGACAAAAGAAATGGGAAGCCTCCAAGGAGACTCCCTCGAAAGGAGGGGCGGGAAGTGTCACAAAAGCACATGCACCATGCAGGCCTGCCACAGCCACAGCGTTGTGCAAAACAATTCAACAAAACTTGTTCAACATCACCCCCACATGTGGCAACCTGACAGTTCACTCCCCCTGCCCTAAAGTTTTGCCCCAAACATTTCCATGATGCGCAAACTATGCTGAGACAGATCACGACAACTCAGCTTCGAAAACAACCTATCGAAAGCAAATCCTGAAGGCACGGCGACATTCAACTCCTTCCAAATACAAACCTGCAAACCCAAATCCCAATGGCCCAACGGCATGGCGAAGCAATGCCACTATGCTCGTGCCCACCCGTCTGTGGCCCGAAGGAGGGACGATATAGGAGGTCCACAACCGCGCTGCCTGCATTGAACATGTTCTACTGGCACAAAACGCTGCACCTGCACTGCCGAACGACACCAGGCACTTGGCAAGAGAAGTCACGTTCCATTCATCCAACACCTCCAAAAGCTTCCCACCACGCGAAGACCATTTTCACGCATGCTGGTGGGCAGCAAAGCAACGACCAACGAACACAACCTGACCTCCAGAGGGATATGTACAGTGCAGTAGTTATTTCTTCAACCCCCAGGCTGTTCAGTTGACGGGAAGCTCTTGTGACTTCGGTGGATTGGTCGCTGCAAGTCTTCTGCGTCATGAGCTGCTGCAGTTGCCACCATCTCCTTGGAACATGTGTCAAGCGTCCGCCATGGTTAGACAATGATTTCAGAGCCAGCGAAACATCAATCAAAGAACCGGAGGACCCCCGTCAAAAGGGCACCACCTCTGCCAGGCGTCGCGTGGCTCTCTTGATTGGAGGTCGGGCATCTAAGGCCTTGAGCCAAAACTTCATTCCAAAGTCAACGTCATGAGCCATGAGGTCACTTACCCAGAGATCATGACAAAGAGTTTACCAGGTACCATGGCACGGCAGTTCTTGAGCAAACCTGCTGCGCATGGCCTTCAGCTGTCCTGCTCACTTTGTCTGAGTCATGCAGCAAGAAGCCCCATGGCGAAGCCCCCACAGTGACAGCCTGGGTTGGGCCCTTTTCTCACTGCCCCCTCCTTCTGCAAGAGCAACCTCTGTGCAACTTGTTGTTCTTCAGTTTCTTTCAGCTTGGTTTCTTGGTAGTAGCTAGAGGTAGCTAGTAGTAGCTAGGTAGCTCGTACCTTACTTAAGCTACAAGTATGGACGCAGGATAGCTCACGCTTCAAGGAAGATCCCACTGCCGCCCTAAAGGCGGCAGGGGTAGCTTCCTTGAAGAAGCGCTCGCTACTATTCAATTGGTTCCTAGATTTTTAGGGAAGTCTAGATTCTAGATAGTCTTGCTAGAAGACGTAACTATATACGTGTCTCACTAATCTTTTAGTCATGTCCTACTTCGAGGGCCCATCTCCCATCTCCCATTGTCAAACACTATCGCTGGGGTCCTGAGGGGCGAGCATCAGAGGATGGATTGCAGGCGTCCTGACCTGCTAGCACACATCAAAGAGAATGAATCAATACTTGGCTTTGCTTGTGGCCTACCGTAGCCACCGGTGGTGCTAAGAACCGTTTACAGCACCAAAATGAGCTTCCCAATCGGCCTGCTTCCATGCCCTGCGGAGAAGCCAAATTTGGGTACCAATGCCGCTGGGAGTGGGAAGCCGAGGGGTACACCAGCAAATCCTGGAAGAGCGCGCAATGTCCGAAGAGCACAATTGGTCTGCAGTGGCTGCACCTTTCACACACTTTCACTCTTAGGAGCTCTCATCGAATCTTCACGTTGTTAGCCCGCCCTGAACATACACTTCCTGTTTAGGGTAGTTGGCTTCAGGCACCATCGATGGGCAGTACAAGTACAGAAAATATCATCGCACAGTACCTGCAATTTGTCACAGCAAATGGTGAGGTCACATTCGTGCGGGTCTGCACAACAAACCTTGGGGCGGCCGCTTTAACAACCCTGCTGGGCGCAAATTCACCAATCTCAGTGCATCTTGCACGCACCTACCTTGCAACCCTCCAAGCGAAAGCAAGACGGGCAAAAATGAGAATTATGTAAGCCCATGTTCGAACATTGTCCTGCTGCCTTACTGCAAGCGGTCACCAAATGACCCATAGAGAGAGAGAGAGAGTGAGTGAGTGAGTGAGTGAGAGAGAGAGAGATAGAGCAGCTCGCTGGGGGCATCAAATTATTCAATTGCCTTCGGCAAAAACTGTACAAAGACCTATTATTTCTGTCAGTTTCTTCTAAGTTTTTTGCTTGGCGGATCAATCTCCATAACCTCCAAGCTCCAAGCCTGTGTGGATGACCGCATTTCAATATGTGACAGGATGAGACGTGGTCATGAAATAGTCCACAAGCAATGCGAAGCTATACTTAGGCCAAAGACAGTGGATCCACCCTGTGCATCAGGAACTTGATCTGCCTGCGGCTTTGTAGAGCATAAATGATTCGAAGAGAAAAACAAGAAGAGCTATATATATACTCCAGCTTCCTGCCGCCTCATCAATGCACAAGACCGTCGTAATTGTTTGTATAACTTGAGCAGGGGTAAACGAAACATAGCATCAGGAATGCAAAAGGCCCGAGCCTCAAAGCAGCTGAGATGATGCGAGCACGTGGCAATTGAGGGGTGAAGTGAAGTGAGATGAGCCAGTATGGGGCTGGTAAACTGAAACAAATCCGTGCAAGACCAAGGGTGGTGGCCAGGAATGAAGGCCAAGACCCAAGGCGATGATTGATTGATACGGCAAGTCTTTTGAGATGTGACCATGGGGCGGGAGAAGGTGAGGAGAGAGTTGGGCATGATTTTTGTGAGCTGAGGCTATAGGATGTTCCAAGCAAGCACAGTAACTGACACCTGAAAAATCCATCTCCGGAACAACTTCGTGCCTAAGATGCAAAAACCAAGAATTGCGATACAGTAATTGATTTAAATCTTCGCCAGCCTGGCCCAAGGAAGCGCCACACGACCTGAGCACAATTCTTGGACCCTTTTTGTTGCACAGCCCTGGAAATCAATCGATGAATCAATCAATTACAGTTGCGTGTGAGCAGCTGTGGCCCTTAAGAGCCGGTTGCCCGGTGCGTGCCCCCATGCCTGGTAGCTGTGCTTGTGCTATCCGGTTTGGGTGGTGCGTAGGCATAAGGCAGATGTTTCGTAGGTTATGGCCCAACATAACGCTTGTGTGGATGTTCTTGGATGGAATCATCGGCGTGTGACAAGGTTGTGGGCAGCACATGGCACGCGACGTGTAGATGGGCGGTGCTCGGTGAAGACATGACAGCTACTGCAGTGTGCAGGTGTGGCAAGCTACGGCGGCATGCGATGTATTTTCAATCCATGTGGCTGGGTGCTTAACAGTCGGTGCGGTGGCTCATGCCCGACGGCCCAGTGGTGTGCACTCAATGCACTCTGCTTGCTTGAGCCACAGAGTGGGCGCGTGAGCAGCTGTAGCCCTTAAGAGCCGGTTGCCCCGGTGCGTGCCCCCATGCCTGGTAGCTGTGCTTGTAGCTATCCGGTTTGGGTGGTGCGTAGGCATAAGGCAGATGTTTCGTTATAACAGTAATTCCCAAACTGTAATTCTACACAGCTAGAGAGCACGATTGCGATATTTGTGACAAAAAGCGCATATTCTGGTAGGGCACTCATGCCTTAGCAAATGAAAAACAAATGCGGTACATTTGGGGAAAGCAAAAGTGATCGCAGAAGTGGGACTTCTGAAACAAGTCCGGTTGAGTCCTCCTGGCCCAACATGTGGGAGATTCCTGCCCTCAACGCATTGGCATTGGCATGTTCAAAGCCGAGTCCAGGGGCATGTGAGAATGCGCTCAATATGGGCAAGTGTCTCAAGATAGGAAAATCGCATCTGCATTGCGTCATTCCCACTTCACTCAATAGAGCGGAAAAACTAAGATAAGTCAACTATATACAGGTTTAAACCCTACAACACACACAAGTAGCAGCGCACGTGTCTCTCATTTCACACACTTTTGGATTGCATCGCCTTCGGTTGCCACAGCCTTCCCTCCTCGGTTTTCAGGGCTTTGGGCCCATGCTACATTGCCGACACGCATCGTCGCCGTTGTCTTTTTTCGCTTGCACTTTCTCTTTCGAGATCTTCCCACTGTAATCTCAACGTCCAGCTGCTGGGTTGCGCCCAGCAACTTGCAGAGGATCCTCCAGGTTGACCTCGGTGCGGTTCTCCTCTTTAAACAAGTTCACCCTTCTCCACCGAGATGTCGGGTCGGTCGGCCCGTACCACCACAAACTCACGCTAGCGCCTGCCTGGCACACGATAACCTACCACATAGAGACACATAGAGGGTGCACGTCCTCAAGGGATACCTTTCGTTTGGCGGGATCATCCATGAGCTCATCGAATCGTTCAAGGACACCTCGGTCGGCAACTGAGCTCGCTGCCCACCTGGAGCAGCTTTCGCACCATCGGGACAAGGCCCCATCCGAACCAACCCACCTAGGTGGCCCCAGCTTCGTGACCTCCCAGTGCAGGGGTTGCAGCCACAGGGAGAAGCCGCACAAGCAGGCAACAAAACCTGTTGGGGTTGCAGGGTCTTGTTGTGTTTGCACATCCGCTCGCCATATCAACCTCCCTACAAAAAGAGTTCCAACCCCCCATGAAGCCAGTCCCTCTCTCCCAGCCAAGCATCCGAGAGCAAGAATTGGACCACCTCAACACAACGACCAACCCCAGTAGCCTTACCTCGCACAATGTCATATTGAAGGTTTCCTGCTGGGTCGAAAGACAGAGTGGAAGGTGGAACGCCTTCCCCGTCGCATATGCACAGTGCACCCCAGAGCTTGACCGGCTTAAGCCAGCAAAACCTGAGAAGGGAGGGGGCGAAAGCCAGCCTCCGTAAGAAGACATCAATGTGGTTATGGGGCGTTCGACAGCGCATTTGCTGTCAGGCGTGAGGAAATAGAAGGCAGAGGCGGAAAGTCTCGCATTGAGGGCCGACAATTTATACACGAGGTTTTGATCAAGGCCCATTAGTGGTTGTAGGTATAAGATAAAAGTGGAGCCCATGCGTTAGTAAAAATTGAGTTGAGCAGGACACTTACAGTCGGGGGAGGAAGGTTGACTTGAGCAGGACGTTCCCAGGGGTGGGGTGCCCCTTTTCTTTTGGTTCAAAGGCGTTTTCATGCTGAAAAAGGGCACCCCTAAGTAAGTGAGGGGCGCTTGCCTGCCGTTTGTGGACTCATAAACATGGGGCCTCCCATCTGGGGCCCTGGGGTGGATTGGGCCCCAGAATAGTTTTTATTATTCAGGGGTGTAGGACCTACACCTGGCAAAAAAAATATATTCCATATGTGAACAGTTCTCAGGAATAATTTAAAGCAACTTCCCACACGCAGTCTATATGGAAACCCTGAGGGAGGCAGTTTCTTTTTATGGCAAACATGTAGTAAAGGCAAGGCCTGCACACCACAAGCTTTACTAGTACTTGCATGTACTTGCGCTCCTAGAACAAACCCAAAGATACCAACCCCTCACCAGAAGCCTTACTAGTTTTTGCTCCTGTATACAATCTCCATAACCACCAGAAATTATTCCAGGGGTGGTTCAGTTCTGGTAGGGGCCTAGAATAATATCACCTCCCCTGTTTGCTTCTATACCTAACCCAAACCTCAAGCTTTCCCAACCCATACCAGAAGACTTAATTACTAGTAATGTTCATTCTGCTCCCTATTTCCTGCGCAAGATAAAAATATTCCAGGGGTGGTTCTGTTCTGGTGGGGGCCTGGCATAATATCACCTGCCCTGTCTGTTGCTGGAAAGAAGAAACCAACCCAAAACATCAAACCTTACCAAGCTCCCCAACCCTAGTTACTAGTATTCGTGCTCCTAGGCTCCTAAGACTAACCCAAAATACCAACCGGGGAGCTCCGAGCTTTCCAACCCATCTACAAGGCTACGAGTTCACCGCTTCCACTTTTCATACGTTTCAGCTCTTATATTTCCCTGCTTGTCAGCTGCTTTTCCGTACAGGGCTACCCCCTGTGCTTAATGGCCATGCACTCAAGAAAGTCACCCCACTACACATGGTTTCCAGAAAACCTCTAAGGGTGATTCATAGAAACCAATAGACACATGAGGGATGCAATTTCTTTTTAATGGCAAACATGTAGTAAAGGCAAGGCCTGCACACCACAAGCTTTACTAGTACTTGTGCTGCTAGAACCAACCCAAAGATACCAACCCCTCACCTCACCAGAAGCCTTAGTAGTTGTTGCCCTCCTGTACACAATCTCCACAACCACCAGAAATTATTCCAGGGGTGGTTCAGTTCTGGTAGGGGCCTAGAATAATATCACCTCCCCTCTGTTTGCTTCTATACCTAACCCAAACCTCAAGCTTTCCCAACCCATACCAGAAGACTTAATTGCTAGTAATGTTCATTCTGCTCCCTATTTCCTGCGCAAGATAAAACTATTCCAGGGGTGGTTCTGTTCTGGTGAGGGCCTGGCATAATATCACCTGCCCTGTCTGTTGCTGGAAAGAAGAAACCAACCCAAAACATCAAACCTTACCAAGCTCCCCAACCCTAGTTACTAGTATTTGTGCTCCTAGGCTCCTAAGACTAACCCAAAATACCAACCGGCGAGCTCCGAGCTTTCCAACCCATCTACAAGGCTACGAGTTCACCGCCTCCACTTTTCATACGTCTCAGCTCTTTTATCTTTTCCTGCTTGTCAGACTTGTCAGCTGCTTTTCCGTACTGGGCTACCCCC